TCACTTCAGTGACACTGTGCTTGTGGCCAGCAGCACCGCAGCCTCCCCTCTTGTCGGGGTTAAGCTCCGTCCCCGCTCTTCTTTTCTCTCAGCAGTGGTAAACAGATGCAAGCGAGAGGAAACGTGTTGTCTGCTCCCGAATTTTCACATCAGAGCAAAATGGGGCCAAAGCATTTTCAGCTTTTTTCACCTGACCTTTAAAAGCTGGGCAGAGAGAAGGGCGAGTGTCCCATTTCCACTCGCTGTGTGGAGGTTGCGTGAGACCGATTTCTTTTAGAGGGAGCATGAAATAGAGTAACCTGAATAAAAATAGGGATTCAAATGAAAAATGGAAGCAGTGATAAATGCCTTTACTTATTACATATATAAAAGAAGTATTGCTGCAACTTTCCAGTTCTTTCAAACAGCAGACAAGTTACATGGCAGAACTGGCCTTGAGCCCAAAGGCAAGGAGCATCCCGAGCAGGCATGGAAGGATGCTCTGTGCCAAGGCACCCGCTTGGTTTAAGGAGGACGCAGGCTCCTGTTCTACGTGCCAGACCCTCTCCTAGTTTGTTTTAACACCCCACCTGCCCAATTATCTCTTCCAAGCCTTAAGGGGATCCCCTGTGTGTGTGCTCTTCATGCTGAGCAAAGGTTTTCCCCCTTGGTGGTGCCCGAAGGACCGAGCTTGCGTGTCCTCTGTTCCTGCTGGCCAGGGCAGTGGGGATCGTCCTCTCGACGGCGGTGAGCTTGGGGCAACCCTTGACGTGGCTGCCTAGCCCACGTGGTTTGAATCTGCCTGATAAGAGTCTTGTACGTGGCTGAACTCTTGAGCTCTTGCAGGCTGGCCTAAGCATGTTGGCTGAAATGCGCGAGTTTTGTCTAAGTTCTGTTTAAAATGCCACTTGCAGTTTTGCAGATGCAGCACAGCTGTTTGCACTATTACTCATGCACTTTAATGATTGCAGCCGCAGGCTTTTGTATTTATGCAGGGTCCATTAAAGGTAATGTTGATTTCTTTTTGGCCTTTGAAACGTAAAGCAGGGTCTCCTCGTCCAACCTGCGAAGCCAGTCAGCTTCCCAGAACAGCTCTTTTGTAACGCTATAGAAAACCATTTTGAGCCTGACAAAATAAGGAGCCTAGAGAAGACAGCAGCTGGCTGCGCTGTGATAATCAAGTGATAGATGATGGAAATGAGTCAGACCCTGTGGTCCTGCCTTACACAAGGCTCCCGCTGAAGCTAGTGGGAATTCGGCTTTTAGGGAGAACCGCAGGAGTGCACTTATTTTTTTTATGTTATACAAATGTTACATGATTACAGGGAACAATGTATTTCTTGGAATAAGATGCTTTAATATTAACATCATTCTTCATTACTTTATAGATGCTGCCCTGTGTAACACGAGAAAGTTTAGTTCCCCTTGAATTAAGGGTGAACTAGCAGCATCCTATTTTCGATGCTCTTTGGAAGCTTTCAACTAAGTGTTACAGAGAAATAGCACAATAGTTGGAGTTGTCCTGTACTATTCATCACATTCACAGACCTCCACAGCTTCATCTGCACTGAACGGGACTGGGGTCCTAAGCAGCTTCTCATAGTCATAAAGGAAGCCATTCTCTGCTCTTTCTTTTTTTTCTCCTATGGAAAGTACAGTATTTTATTATTTTTACCTGCTGTTTTTCCATGACATCCATCACGTTTCATCAGAGAAGTACACTACAGTTTCCTGACACTTTGTTTAGATGCTTGAAAGTTCCTCTACAGGTTGAAGGCTTTACCTACTTACTAGCTGACAACTGTTGAAGTTGATTGCAAATAAAAGAGTTGAGTTTTGGTAAACCAAAAAAAAACCAACAAAAAACCCCAACCAAACCAAAAACCAAACGAAGCTGTATGTCCTGCTTAATTGATTTTATGGATGGGTTTTTCTTAAATATCTACTTCAGCTATGTGAATGTAATGTTCTGTAAGAGCATCATCTGGCTGACTCACATGCGAAGATGCAATAATGCTAAAGATCTTCTTTTTGCACTTAGGGTCTGACTCCAGCCCATTGCAGTCAGTCCCATTGATTTCAGTGAGGTTTGGATCAGGTCAAACTGACAACTCAGGGTTGTCGCCAATCACTTAGGGTCCCAAAGCGTCCCAAGGCTGAAACCTGTATCTAGCAAGTGTTGAAGTTTACATTAAATGTATGTACTTTTGGAACACGTGCCATAAATCAAAGTTAAATGTCCATGTTTGCACTAAGGATCTTCTTGTGATAAGACTGTACTTTTCAGCATCTTTAACAATAATGTATCTCTTGAATTTTTGAGAAAGAAAAAGGAATATTGAACACTCATAATTTAATTTTGTGTTTCTTTGTCTAGTTTTGCTTTTGTAGAACATAGGTACAGGTGGTTTAACTTTTAAGCAGATGTGTGCAAAGAGCATCTGACTGTGTTAAGAGCAGGGTTAATAGTATGCATGTGGTAGTGAATTTGCTCTGTCCCGTCAAAATGAAACGTTTTATACCATGGACTAAAGGGGGACCTTTATGATCTGACTTTGATTTGTGAACCATAGATTCTTAGACACAGTATGAAGTTGTTAAGTTAAAACAATACTGGGGTATTTTTTGGGGTGACCATTTTTGTGCAGAGGAATTGTTGAACTATGTGATGGCTGTGATTGCCAGGGGATTCCCCACCAATACTGGTGGGCTTTTCTCCAGTTTGGGTGGCCAGTGTTGCAAATAACCCCCGTACACCCTCAAAAATGTGACCACCTGAATCTGAACTGAGCAACGCTGCAAGACCCAGAAAGAGCCCAGTGTTCTTCAGCCGCTCGCAATCATAGCAGAGAGGGTTTAAGTCACAGAAGGTTATTTCTATCTATCATCTACTTTAAAATTGGTCACAATGCACTTGCTAGGTGGAAAAGTAGGAGTCTCTTAAGTTACTGTCGGGGCCATTTATAGTGGTAACAATTGTGGTTAACAGTACACATTTTGAGGTACAACTGTAAATATTTGTCTCAAACATAGCACACATTGCATATTAAGTGGTTTTAATCTTTTTTGTCTTCCATAGTTTTAAAACTAAGCTTTTATTAATTTATGAGGTTGATAGGTTCTGCAAATCTGAATGTACAGTCTGAGATTTTTAACATTTGAAACTTTGCACATGACATGGTATGTTACCTTAAGTATGCTGTTGAACTAGGCTCTTCATGTATATGTATAAATTACAGTAGAGAGTTTTCTCTGACTGCAAGTTTAAATGAACTATATTGTATATGTACCTGTAAAAAAATGTGTTAAATCTATATTTAAAGATTAAAAACTTGTTAAATAAATTCATATGAGAATATGCAACTCTGTCCAAAGACACCTCTGCTGTAGATGTAGAGAAAACAAAATAATTCTCACAGTGTTGGTTTTATTTAATTTCTTTGGAACAAATACAACCTTCTTGCTTGCCTTTTGATTTTAAAATAAGCAGTGGCAGACGATCCGATGAGCTTCTTGCTGGATGTAGTGGCGATGAAATTGGGAGAGGCACCTTAGCACTCATACCGACATCTGCAAGAGCAGCTACTGAAATCCTGCCCTGGCTCGGGGTGTCTCCATCACCAGCCTCTCCTGCATCCCAGCGCTGGGCAGCGCTGCCAGGAGGGACCTCTGGGCTTGGGACCGCAGGACCACCGTGCTCACGGGTGGGTGCACGGGGACTGTGTGGGCATCAGCCTTTTTTGCAGGTGCTGTAGGGGGAGAGGTGGTCTTGGGGGCACATCTCACCAGGTGGGAGGGAGGAGACCCCTTTCAGTGGGGTTCTGCCTCCGGGGACGTGCCGTGGTCCTGTGCGCGGTGCCCGCAGCGTGGTAAAGCCCACGCATGAGCTGCCCACACCAGGCATCACAGGGTGCGGGTCCCAAAAGCCACGCTCTTTCCCTGTGCACCCCTGGCGTTTGCCACAGAAGGAGATAATAGACAAACCAGCACTGATCAAAGGCAAGCGTCCCTTCTGCTGGGATTATTCCCTTCCCTTGAAGTTGGGAACCGAATTAAGCCCGCTGGAGGCAGCCCAGCACAGGAGCTCTGCCCAGCGTAGCCTTGCCCCGGGATGCTGCCAGCTCTTCCCTGTGCCTCGGTGCCAGCACCCACCCAGGGCACGGGGCAGGCACCCCCCAGCGAGGTTTCTCCCACCCGCTCAGACCAGACACTGGGGTGTCCCACCCTGTCTGCTCTCAGGGGACATCCCACAAACTCCTTTGGGGAGGGCAATGCTCTGTCTCCATCACCGCCAGCAGCACCCGTGGCTGCAGTCTAATTTAACACGATTAATACAGAGACCAGGACAAGTAACGAGCGCTAAGCAGTTCTCTTTGTGATCCTAACAAGGCTGCGCAGAGATCATTAGCATAAAGCCTGCCACTACCTTTAGATGAGTTTACAGATTTTAGTTCATTTATACAGCCAATTTTATGCCATCCTAAAGCAGGAGGAGCATTCCCTGCTGCCTGTGATCCATCTCAGCCTGGCTCATGTGAAAATATCTGGCCAAGAGTACTGCGTGTGCAATGCTTTGCGTGTTCACCTCCCTCGTGGGCTTCTGCTACAGGGACGATGCTGGATGCCGGTGCTGGAGGCACCCAGTGCCTGCTGGGCTCCCCTTGCCTGCGGTGCTGTGCGGCAGACGTGGGCGATGCCGGTGGCACGCTGGCCCAGGGCATGTGTCAGCTGTGCCCCAGCTCATCCACACCAGCCCTCTGCATTTGGGATTTGGGGACTTAACACCATCTCAGCAGTGCCGGTGTGTTCAGGAATACAGTCACGGGTAATTAAAAGGGCTTTTTATTTCCTTATTACCACATTTCCACTGCGTTCTCTCAACTTTTGCCCTTCCAAGAGCAGAAATTAGTTCGTTTACAAATGTTTATTAAAATGCAATGATTTCTGCAAAACGCATAGATCGCTACGGTCTCCGTTCAACCAACCAGTCCATCCCCCAGCACGGCGTAACCTCCCGTGGGTTAGGTAAGCCTCGTGATTTCCTTTATCCACTTCAGGTACTTGGAGACCCTGGTGTAGATGCCGTATTTACCTGGCTTGGCACATTCCTCACCCCAGCTGGTGATCCCTGTGAGAAACCAGGTGCCCTCGATCTCGGTGGTGTAGGGACCTCCGCTGTCCCCCCCGCAGGTGTCACTGCCCCCGGCTGGGAAGCCCGCACAGAACATGTTCTGCAGGATGGTGGTGGAGGTGCTCTTCAAGCAGGTCGGCCGGTCAACGAAGGGGACCTTGAGGACCTGGAGGATGGTGGCCGGCCGGCCGCGGAAAAGCATGCTGCCCCAGCCGCTCACCGTCCCCGTCCCGTGCTTCAGCAGGGCGTTGGTGAACTCCCGGCTGCCGACGCAGATGGGAGTGACGTAGCTGTTGAAGCTGAGCGGCCGGTCCAGCTCCAGGAGGGCGATGTCGTTGTGGTGCTTGTTGATCGTGGCGTTGTACGTGGGGTGGGGAAGGATTTTCACCACTTTACGCCGCTGCTCCGTGTTGTCTTCCTCGTTGGTGTTGTATTCACCTGCAGAGACGAACGTGGCTTGGGCTCCATGGCCGGACCAGCGACCGTGCCCTGCCAATTCCATCCCGATGCGATACCAGCCCGGCCGGGTGGTTGCAAAGGGATGAGCGCTGCACACCCCAGCCCTCAGGCTGCTCCGAGCCTGGTGCTGGCGAGTCTGCTTGCTCCTTCTCGAAGGGCGTTGGAGGTTTCCCCACGGCAGCACCTCCTCGGTCCCTGCAGCCGGCAGGACCTCAACCCCCAGATACGATGCCGGGCACGCACTGGCCGATCAAGTGCCAAAGGTCCAGATGCTTTTGCTGAAATTAGTAGCAATGTGGCTGTTCTTGGGATTTTGCACCCTCACAGAGATGTAAGGAGGATGTTGCCCTAACATCAAAGAGGGGAAAGCCCCTAGAATGAAAAATCTTCCTTTAAAATAAATCATTTCTTAGTGAAAAGAAGCCTGACCTTCCCTTTTCTTAAACCACGCAGCCACAGGGCAGAATGAGATGCAGGGGGGCTACGAAATGCCACCCCCCTGATGCTCACAGGTGCCCCTCGGGTCCCTGCTGCCCACACGAGGCTCGGCTGCTTGCGATTGCAGGGTGCTGCCAGCAGCTTCAGGCTCCTGTGATTGAGTTGCTGGCAGCCTATTACCTCCCCTCCCGGCTTGTGTAACAGGTAGAGGGAAGGGAAAAAATGTTCTGTGGTCTTGGGTCAGCAAATGGGCAGCATCTGGGTCTGCCTGTCGCCGAAACCCCTCTCCTGCCTGTGAACTGGCTATGCTGAAGGCTCCTGAGCAGGATGACTTTTCCCGCTTGCTTTCGCACAGCCCAAGAGGCGCAGGGTGCGTTTAACCCCTGCTGCAGTATTTCTACATGCTTTGCTGTAATCTCCAGAATATACGATCTCCTCTAAACAGTATCTGCAGCACTCCTGGCCCTGGCAGTGTCCTGTGTCTGCTGCGTCCGCCTGCGAGGAGCGGCACGGAGTCCGGAGGGAGAGGTGAGGCGGTTTTCTGTGTTCATGTTAATGCTGGTGCCTGATGAAGGTGGGTTTGGTGGCTGGTGCTGCTGATGTGCTCTGTGAGGGTTTTTTTGCAGCAGAGTGTGAATGTCAGCTTCCTCACAGGCTCTGTTTCGACAGTGTAAATGCAAGATAGATGTGGGGGAGACTTTCAGGAGGTTTTTCTTTTGCTATGGCTGCTTACTATTGCTGAGGACCTGAAAATATGCTTCAGGGATGAAAGTGGAGAAGCAAAGAAGGGGAGGGGAGGGGAATGCTTCTTCCACCCCCTGCTATTGATTTTTGGGCCTCCTAGGATGTTATGTACAAAGCTGAACATCTAGCGTGAATGGGCGTGAAGGAATCAGATGTTGCCCATGCAGTGTACATGGTGCAGGCACAAATTCAATAGTCCCTGAAGCCCTGCAAAATCGTATTTTGCTTTCTTGACTTGCTGCTTGTCCAAAATCCTGCCCTGGAAACCCAGCGGTGCCGCAGAGCTGTGTGAAGGTAGCGTGAGGGGACTTGGCTGATAACGTATCCTAAACGGATGGGGTGCGTGACATGCAGGAGAGAGCCTGAAAAGAGAGGCAGTTTGCATGCAGATGTAGCAAATGCAAAACCTCTGTCCGGGTCGAAACATGCTTTTCTAGGGGGAGACTGGGTTTGCACTGGGCATTTTGTACTTTCTCACGTTAGCAGGTGTAAGGCTGGGCTTTGTGCTGGGCTTTCCAGCAAAACTGCCTGAAAGTAGATGGCAAAAAATGCTGTGTGCAAACTGCGAGCCTCATCCTGCTAGCACGGGGCAGGTGGTGCCCAGCCCCGTAGCACTCAGTCTCCAGGGTCTGGCCAGGCACATTCAGGAGCTCTGCCACGTTAACATGGAAGATGAAGGTGCAGCTGGAACCCTCTTGATGAGCTTGTTTCTGTAGATATAAGCTCAGTGCTTCAAGGCTCAGGTAGAATGTCATTTTTGTCACTAATGCATTTCATAGTGTTTAAACAGAAAGCTTGATTCTTCCATGTCTCCTCTCGGTGCTGCTCGTAGCAAATACTAACTATATTAGTGTTCCCTTCCTGTACCGATCAGTGTAACCCTCTTATACTACGTATTCACACAGGGGAGGAACAAATAATTTGGGGAAGCTGATTCTGCCACAGCTGTGAAACGTGGCACCACGATGCTTGCCAAGGCCCCATGCTGAGTTATCAGCAGGCTGCCTAGCAGGGTGTCTGGAAGAGCTGGGTACCAAGAGTTGGGGGAAACACCATTTTTCAAGCAGGGATACATTTGTTTTATAACATAGCAGTATCATTTGCTGTGCAGCCTGGCCACACCACCCCTGCTTAACTTCCCAGAGACCCTGCTCTAAAAGCACACTTCCCCACATGCCAGCCCAGTTTCTCTACTTCAATCCATAAATTCTATTTACTTCTAAAGAAGTTAGGAGGAAAAAGTAGTTATCTTCTCCTTGCAAGGAGTTAGTTAGGTTGCTGGTGCCCCTCTTGCACCAGCTACGTGAATCCATTCTCTGAGAGTTGTGTGAAAACTTAGTGCGACCCCCAAGAAGAGCAGAAATCCCTGGTGAGGTCCTACGTGGCTAGTAGAGATAAAAATCCATCGCATCAGCTCGTGAAGCACCATCTTAACTGAAGCCCACCGGGCTTTTAAGCAGCCTGGGGTTCTCTCTGGCTGGGATGAGATGATTGCCTGTGGTCGGGTTGAGCTGTGCTTGCAACAGGGTCCAACAGCTCCATGGCTTTGGGACCAAGGCCAGACCCAGCTCACTGCTCCCACCGGAGGTGGTGGTACCTGCAGAGACCAGGCTGCCGAAATGCCGCAATCTGCAACCGGGGCCTCGATGCCCTAAAGCACCTTGTGCTGCGTTGCCGCCCGTCACGGTGGCGCGGGTCCCAGGGTTCTGCGCGATGCCTTGTGCCCGGCCGGTGCAAACCCCATCCCGCATCCCTCACCTGGGCTGGCCCGATGCTGCCCGAGGTGCTCACCTGCCACGGCGGTGACGTTGTCACCTGGCTGCAGGCAGTGTGCTGCCGTCACGACCCATTTCTCGTTGATGATGGATGCGCCGCAGAAGCCCACGCCGTGGCTGTTCACCAGATGAACCTGTGGGAGCAGAAGGAAATCACGCTCGTGGGTTTGCGTAAATCGGTGAGGGAGAAGAGTGGGACGCACGGGTTTTGTTTGGCTATAGGATGGCCTGCCTTTAGGTCGTACAGACCCAGTGGTGCCAGAGATGCTGCTCCTCGGGAATTCCCTGCCCCTCCGTCCGCTGTAGTCACAGCGGGTAGCCAGGACCGCTCCACACACGTGTTAGTGCCCCATTGCACTTCTCCTCCCTTTGCTGCCAGGCTGGGAGGGCGGACAGCCCTGAGCGTAAACCTCAGCATAAAACTCGGAGCATCCAAAATACAAGCACTTCTGCACCTCCTAAAAGTGCCAGTGACTAGATCTTAACTAGTTAACTAGGGAAAAAATCTTAATTACCCATTTCATTGGGCATCTAACTGCCTCAGCACTTACGGGGCACAAGCCCGGACGTCCCTTATGCTAAAACTTCTAATTAAATTAATCAGCTGACTCGATGGACTGTGTTTAAAAGAAGGATTGCTTTATAATTCACCCTTTTCGTTCCTTTCACGTGACGTAGCTCGTCACTATCTATCTGCCTCGTACTTTCCACGTAATTCCTCATTCAATGCCTTGTTAGACAGAGCCAGCTGCGTTTTAAGAAGCTCAATATCCATAACGAAGAGGACGGAGCTTGCCCACGGTGATGAACTGGCGTGCCTCCAGGCCCGCAGCAGTCCCCACCCTTGGTGTCCGGCGTGGGGTCTGCCCCAGGCACTGTGGGCTGTGCCCATCCCCGTGGCGTCTGGCCACGGGGCAGGCTGCTGCTGTGGGGCCTGACCCCCACGCGTGCCTGTGGGTGCGAGACTGCCCGTGGAACAGCCAAAGACAAAGACAGTGACGTGGTTTATAATGCCCTTCACTGGGATCTGAGCCCCACAACCAGCCCCAAGCCCCAGCACCCCTCCTGATTCCCCAGCCGGCTGAGCATCTTCATTTGCCAGCTGGCAAAAGGGCAACCAAGATTTTTTTCGGAGGGTGCCTGGTCAGGTAAAGGTCTCCATGAGCACAGGCAGCTAGCCAGACTTGGTGGGCTTGTAGGGTGTGAATTTTCTTTCTTTATGGATAATGATTTCTCATATTTGACTTTCTGGTTCTTCTCTTGGCTCTCTGTGAATGGGTGGTGGGTGCCAGCATCACGTAAGGCTTGTCCCACGAAAGGCTGAGCCAGAAAGCTCTGCGTGGCCAGGGTGGCGGGACGGCCTCTTCCTTTCAGACACAAAACATGACCTCCCAACAAACCTCCTGCTGCTACTGGTGGCCATGTATGTCCCCAACACGTTACTGGCTTTTTTAGCTCTGAAATGGAGCGCAGATGCCTGCTCCTGACCTGTCTGCACACCCCCTGCTCACTGCTTCACTCCCTCAGCAGACGTAGAGGGATCGGCTGATGTGTGTGAATAGGCATTTACGTCCCTGTGTGGGCAACTTTTCACTGACGTCACCAGTGTCGATCTGTGCCAGAGCTTGCAACAAAAAAAGATTTGCCATTCCTAAAACCTCATCTGAATTTATTATTTTGCACTCCCAGCCACTGAGATTTCTGCGCTCACTGAAGCCAGAGTAGAATTTAAGGGCAGTAGATGACTTTGAAAAAGATCCAAGCTAGGAGATAGCTTTCCTTTTGACAACAATTTAAAAGTAATTGCAGAGCAGTGGGTTGGAGGAGGCTTCTTTGCAGCCCCCCCTCACCTGTGATGTCATTTTTGGTGAGGTAGACATGAGTAGGATGTCGCAAGTTGGATAAAGAGCGAGCAGCTGGATTTGGTAGATGCCGTACAAGGACAGATCCTTTGTTGGTATAAATTGTTATGGATCTGTTGAAACTGATGCAGTCAAAAAATGAGCTGCATTGTTCCTTGCGAAGCTGCACCTTGCAAAGCTCCCCTCCCTCAGCCTTCGGCTTAATCTTGGTAAATTCATGGGCTACTGGGAAATCTGTTGCTATAGCTCAAAACCGGATCCTTTGTGCCCTGTCAGATTAAGCTGCTGTGACTGCCTTCTAGCCAGGGTAGACCCCCAGCCAGGCAAGTTTTGTTGCTGTGGCATAAAACTGTGTATAGAAGGAAGCTGTGCTCCTGTTAGACTTGAGATCTATTGCTAAAGTAACCTGAGAGACGGGCTTTGGATATGTAGAAGTAAGACAATCCTGCATTCAGAAGGAAATGAATAGGCAGAGCGATTGCTGGGGTTACAGGAGAGCTGCAGAAAGAGCCAGTACCTGCCAAGGCACCTCGCCTCTCATGCTGTCTGATCCACCGACAACCCGGGTGCCCGTCTTAATTATCGGTGTGATTTTTGTGGTGGTGGCAGCGCTGGTTTCAGTGACGTTGTCGAGCACCTCGTCATGAGCATCGTCGTGGTCATCGGCGGTGATGTTCCAGTGCTCAAAGGTGTTTATGGCTCGGGTGAGCTTGCTCTTCGCTTCGGGAGCCGTGATCCTCCCACAGGGATACGGCACTGGGAGAGAAACAGTCGCGGTTATGACCGGCTGCGCATCACGCTGAGGGTTACAGCGATCGAAGGAGCAGGCGAGGAGGCAAATGCTGCCTCAGCTCAGCACCCTGTTTTGGGACCAACACGGGAGACGCAGGGCTGTGGGCTGACCGTGCGTTCTCCGTGCAAACAGATGCCCATGCCTTTGAGCCGCAGTGCCGGTAATATGTAAAAGTAGCAAAAGCATAAATTGTTTCTGGGCTTTAGAAATGACAGCCGAACAGCTTTTAAAAAGAAGAAAGCTTGCGAGAGGGAGCGTGTGTCTGATGGGACGGTGCAGCTGTGCCTTTATTTTGTGGGATGCTGAGGTGCATACCTGGGAGGCTTGCTGCGGTAGGCAGCCGGGCACTTGGCTGACATTTCTGCAGCAAGTAACTCCAGTACAACAGAAGTCCAGCTGGGAGGGGGCAGGAAATAATATCTGCCAATTGTACAGATAATCCTGCTTGGCACCAAGGTAAGGAAAACATTAATAAACTCTTTTTAGAGTTGTAGATTTTCTCTGTTAATGAAGATCTCATCTGTAGGCTCATTTCAGATGAGCTCTTCCCATTTCTCTCCTACGCAGTGTGTGCCGAATTCCTGCTGATAGTGGCAGTCAAAATAGTAAATAGCATCAGGCATTGTCTTTCATCTGAAAAGCTTTCAACAGCCCTGTGCAAACAAACTTAGTGTAAAATCAGATGTAAGTGTGGCCTACTGAGATTTCATATGCTTTTTTTAAACAGTCTGCTTTAGGAATAGGGCTTAAATAAGTGTTGAGTGATGGAAAGTGCTACCCGTGAGGTTAGGCTAGGAATTGAAGGTTTAAGAGCCAACAGAAGCTAAGCTTTTGCAGGAAGGGCAATTACCCAACCTGAAAGATGATCTTATTGCTAACAGTAAAACTTTCTGGTCCAGTGAAAGTGACACAGCATGTTGGGCAACACAGGCCTGACCTCTTAATGATCTCCATTAACAGAAGGACTCCCAGCCTAAGATACTTCCCACACTGATTGCTGAAAGTCAGCACTTGCAGGAGCTCCAATTGCTCCTGGCTGTACTTATCTGACCTTCAGAAACTAACTCACCTGTGCGGGTGCCCGCATGCTAGCTTAGGTGTGCAAATCTCTTACTCTCAGGTGATAGAAATACAATAGCATTAAATGTTAAATTGACCTTAGATGACAAAATATTTCTCTGCTCAATCTCCTCTTTCCTCTGCCAGATGTGCTTCTGAGATGTTCATGCCCAATTAACTTGCTGTGTTGCGGTGAGTTGGAATTGCACGTGTCAGGGTAGTCTGAGATACTATAACAGCCTAGGAGTGGGGTAAAGTTGGGGAATATAACAAGAACCAGCTATTCTTTAGCCCTTTATGAAGTTGCATCCTCAAGCAATGCATTTCCCCTCTGCTCCACTCAATACCACAGCTAAACCATGGAGTCTAGTTCCCGTTGAGGGTCTTTGTGTGCAGATATACACTGTTGGGAGGACAGCACCACCACAAAGCTTCACTTGTTTCTACCCAACTCGGGAAACTACACTGCCTGATGGCCAGCCATGAAATGGACCCTCAGGAGGATTTAGAGTAAGAAAGGTTGTCTTTTGTTCTGGAAAAGCCCAGAGCATCCTTGATGTAGGATCAGTAACTAAATAGTAGCTCCTATTGGAAGAACATGAGAGTGAGCTCTGGCTGGACACCACCGTGTATGCTGGTGTACCTGAACACCCCGTTTCTGCCTCCAGAAAACTACTGATTCATATCTAGAAATATAAAATGGCTGCAAGTGGGAGAGGCACCTGTGTGAGCAGCCATCTGAAATGAGCATTTGCCTGGTGAACAAATTCATGGACAACTACCCTTGTTCTCCACCCATCTAGGCTAAAAAAGGGAGTTTAAATTGCATCCTTCAAGCCTGACCCCACATCTGCCATTGGGTAAGTGCAGGGTCAGGCTTTTTACATTTGTTAAGCAGGAAAACAAGGCTGGTTTCCAACAGGATATTGCATTTCTATGAGGTCCATGTATCTAAATTCAGGACGAGACCTTGGAAACTTCCACCCAAATCTCTTAAAAACACTTTCAAAGCTAACCTGCAGGTTCACAGGACTTTCCATCTTCATGAAGTCTATAGCCAGCAGCACAGGAACACACCACTTTCTGCGGTGGGTCATGCCTGCAGAAGTGCTTGCAGCCTCCATTTTTAATAGCACAAGTGAAGTCTGAAAGAAAATAAAATGAAACTGTGAAAGCTCTTTTGAAATACAACTGGTCAGAGATTTGTTGGGACTTGGGCCTTTGGACTCAGCCTATAACCCACTGGAACTGGTTGTTCCAGACTATGGAAACTGGATGCTTGTTTACAAGGAGAGTGTCCTCCTCCCAAATCACGTCCCTGCTCATAATGAAGGAGTGCTGGGCACCTCTTCGAGAAGGCAGGTTGAGGAACAGCCCTGTGAGAGGTCCCACTGAGCTCTGGTGCAGCCTCCTGCATCCAACAACTGTGTGCTGTCTGAAATTTGGCAGCCTGATTGTAAAGGGCTCCTGCAAATATTTGGTTATGAGCCACGTGATTTCCCCACTGTCATACTGCTCTCCTTCCCCCCATGCTTACGGCAATCCAGCCCCAGTGCGGATGCTAGTGGAGAACGCCATGTGTCAAATGGGAGCAAACCCTGAACCCACGAAGGGCTTTGTGCTGGGATTATCGCTGGGCTCCGAATTTAAAACCTCAATTCAAAGCCATATGTTGTTCCTGACATACCAATAAATCATTGCAGCCTGATGTGGAAGACCCATTTCAGCAGGACATTTGATGAAACGGGTCCCAGACCGAGGCACAGCGAGATTCCCATGATTCCCATGACTTGTGTGTGTCTTCTCCCACCCCACTTTGCACTCCTCTGCGGTGGGAACACCATCTCTTGGAGGTGGGAAACCACTAATACGCAGACGCCCTTTTAATTCTCAGTGAGTTTTCAAATAACTTCACAGCAGATTAACTCCACTCCTACTTCCTCAAGGACACCTCCCTTCCTGTAGCCATTTTAATGCCATCATTTACTATTTTTACAGAGCTCCTTTTCACGCCTCACTTCTAGCTCTATTTTTGTTCCTGTCTCACTTCCACTAGAAATCTGCAATGAGACTATTTAAATTTGATGCAGCTTTGAAATGCTCTTTTTAACGTACACTCCTCTCTTGCCAGAGCAGAAGCACAACTAGAAAGAGAATCTTTTATTAGTGCAGTGAGTCTAGCACATTATGCGACTCGCACAGCCCCTGATTATATTATAAATATAAGAGCTGAATATCCCTTTTGCTTAAATTATCAGCTGTTTGGTTTTCATAAACTCCTCAACCCATCAGGAAAATATTTGCCTTTTGTTTGCCTTCAGAATCAAGGTTGCTGGTGATAATTATAATTATGAATTTAGCAGAGTGCCATTGAGAGGAGGTTGCAATAATCCGGCCCTGCTCAGCACCTGCTGCCCAGCCTGGCGTGAGAAATGGAAAGGAGGAGTGAGAGGCTGGGGGCCCCACCAGGGTCGGTGGAAAACCGTTGCTTTCAGCAGGTGGGTGCGTCGCCCTTGATTGACGAGCAGCCCCGGAAAGGTTTGTGCTGGGGAGATAAAGGAAGGTCTCTGTGTCAACATTTGTGCTGGCAGCTGCAGCGTGCTGAACAAAAGACCTTGAGCCTGAGTCTCTGTTGAAGCCTGCGTAAGAGCAGGCATCTCGGTGCTCAGCGGAGGTGGAGCTGGGGGTCCAGCGAGGGCAGGAGAGGACAGAGACATCTGCTCTTGTATCCCCAAGCATGTCCCCCTGTAATCCCGTTGCCAGCAGGCTGGATTTGCACGTTTATGCAGTGCCTTAGAGCAAGGCAAAATGTGTCTGGAACAGCTCTCTAGTAGGATAAAACTCTATGCCCATTTTGACACGGTGGGATTTCAAGTAGGGCAGAACAGCCACAGGACGAGTCCCTGGTACGTACCTATCTCACAGTTTCTGCCTTCGTACCCAGCTGGGCACCAGCACACATAGGAACTTACTGCGTCCTTGCAAACAGCTCCATTTTTGCATGGATTGGGGTCGCACTGATCTCCATCTTGGAGAGAAGACAGGAGAATTAACAAACATGAGCATCCGTCACGGCTGATGCTGACCAAGCACTGGAGCCTTGCTCTGTGCAAGCCTCCTGTTAAAGACGAGCAAGAGACTGCACACCTTCCTTCTTTGTAATGGAAAAGAAGTCAGATCCTGGCACCCAAGGGCACAACAGACAACGTCAGTGCTGGGGTAACATCAGCAGCAGTGCTTTACCCAGAGTCCTAATTATGTACCGTGTCCCGTGTGGGTTAATTCTGCTCCTTTCAGCAGAACTCCTCTTTCAGTCTCACTCATGCAACATCTCAACAGGACCTCATGTCTTGGCTAAATTAGGCAAAGTTAGAAGGTTTGCTTCCTCAAGAGTGGTTAGGATTTCCCAATCTGAATTATTTTAACACTACTGTCTTTATTCTCTGAAGGATTGGGCCAGTTCATTTGGGTTTCGAAACTCTCTGTGTAATAGGATTGAGAGCTTTGGTCATTGCTCTTTCTTTCTAAAAGTCTTGTACTACTGGTCTAGATTTTTCTTTACATGTCAGGGCTTTTATTTTCACAGTTGCCTACAGCTGAGAAGCTGAGGCTTTAATATAAACACCCAGTATTGCAAAATTAGTGATCTAACACTGTGGAAGAGTAAGTCAGTGATGTTAAATTACAGGGAAGTGTGCTTTGAAATGGTAATGCAAAGAGAAGGAGGAAGGGGAATGTCTTGATGCATTTGTGTCCTGCCAGTAAGCATGGCTGTTAATGGTGCTTTCAGGAATGGACTGGAACGCAAAAGGCAGAGAGCAAACAGGGACAAAATGGTTTGGTTTTGTCTTGTCTAAGGCATGGTGTCGGGGTTCGCACATAAGGTGTGCATCACGGCTGCTGTTGCTGCCCGGTGAGGGCAATCGGGGCTTGGTACCACTTGGGTGCTGTGCAAGGGGTGAGCCCCTGTGGGCAGCACACGTTGGGAACAGCAGCTTGTAAGCTGAACATTAAACCAGGCACTTTGGATGATAGGGGAATACATGGCATTTACTGTTTTTGAAGAGCTAATTGGTTACAGTGGCAGGGAAACAAATGCAGCGTTGAGTTTCATCAGTTGGTTTTTCAGATGACAGTCTTACAATGCAAATCTAACTTTTTTATTTTATAGCCTGGACTGAATAATCTGAATTATTTAAGTCTTTTTAGTGAGATGTTCTGGGCGCTTCGCCAATCTACAAAGCAGTTCATTTATTGAAATGTCCTTAAAATTAGTTTCAGATGTTTTAGTGGGCATTGAAATCTTTTTGGTAAGGGACTGAGGAGTCATTGGGGATGGAGGCTGAAAGGGAAAAAATAGATGGTGGAAAGAAAATGGTGGAGATGCAAGGGTTTGGGACCACTGGTGTGAATTGCAGACAGCTGTTTGCTATGATCATGTTGAGGTTCCACTTTAATATGGCATTTCTAGGGATTCGTGCTGTGCTTGCACAAAGCTGTGCCTTGTCTGGAGATCTCTGCTTGAGAACAGAACATTTGCCGTTTGCTGAAGGGATGTTAATTATCGTTGTTGTGTTTTACTCACTACCACAGCTGAAACTAGAAGCCCAGAGCGTGACCTGGGTTCAATGGATCTAGTGGTCTGTGTGAACCAGAGGTTCTGTGAGGTTTTTGAAGTTTGTTCAGAAAAAACCTGCTTGAAAAAAGAAAACATGAAATAATTTTTTTTTTTTTTTTTTTTTTTTTTTTTTTTTTTTTTTGCTTTGCAATTTATATACAAACGGGACAGACCCAGGCTGGGTGGCTGCAGGATTTAGGGTGCGTAACTCTGACTAGCTCTGTCCTAACACACTTTCTGAATGCTGGAATACATTTGTTTCACTAAACATCTGCTACTTATGCACTGAGAGATTAATATTATGCATTTGAACATGAAGAAAGCAGCTCTTACCGATGTATGTTTTCCAAAACTCCATCTGCAAAGTAAAAAAAAAAAAAAAAGTTTCCTTTGATTTCTAATTTCTGGGCTCTGCCTGAGTGAAGGAGTAAAGGGATGACTCCAAAGCTAAAGCAAAAGACTTGCAGGAAAACAACCACCTCCGTAATCCCAGTGGTGACCAACAAACCTTTAAAGCAGTTCCCCAGCCCGACGGATGGATCACAAATGAGAATAAAACACGATAGGTGCTGCACTTGGCCCCTGCAGGTTTTCCCCTTGCTGTTCACTCTTCCCTCCCCCTCTGTGCCTCCTCACCTGAAAGGCTCGTAGAGGTGTGGGCTGGGGGGAACAAGGTTCTTGCCATTTTGCAGCAGCGATACTCACTGTTTTCTCTGTGTTTTCAAACACTTCTCGGGCTTCTTCAAAGCTGCATTTTTCTTCCATGCATTCTCTCTCAAGGTTCCCAGGAATAACCTCTTCTAGTCTGTTTGAATTGGCTCGCTTTTGTCTGCTCAGAACGGAGCTCGCCTCTTTGTTCTCGATGAAGACTGCGATTTGAAAAGAAATAGGGGCTAGAGAGGAGCATGCACCGCCATGGGATGCAGCTGGGATGGACTCTCAGGGCTCTGTTCTCCCAGAAAGCAAGCCCTTTTCATGCATTTGCCCCCCTGTTGCCCCATGGCCAGGGATGTTTCAGGATCATTATCATCCACTTGAGGTTTCTTTGGTGTCTAACTGAGGATCACATCTGGAGAACCGAGTCAAAATAGTCAATAGTCAGAAATGACTGATGGCGAGAGGGTGATTAGGAGCGCTGAAGTTTGATGCTTAAAATACCCTAAAGCAGATGGTGTATCTCCTATCATAGATGCACAGACTGGAATATTTGAGAGGGGAAAATAACAGGCTTTTTCATGCTGCTGCTTGGTGAGGTCTTGTTTGGACACAGAAATTGTCCTGCTTTAACTGTCTCTGCGTGTTTTGGCTGTGAAAGGCCATTTGCCTCCGCAAGCAGCTGCAGCCCTTGGAAGCCACGGGCCATTTGCTTCTCTCCCTGCTCCTCGTCCTTGCCCATGTGCCTGGGTACCACCGTTTCTTGTTGGCAGGAGAGGTGACATGAGCCCTCCTCACCCCCTGGGCCAGGTCATGTCAACGAAGTGGTGTGCATCCACCTTCAACTTGCTGGCCGAGCGCCTGGGCAGAGAGCTGCTGGTGCTGCAGGGACCCTCGGTCTAGGTGGGGTGTCCGCGGTAGCCACCAGCCTTCCCGTGGTGGCCGCCTGGTGAAGGGCACAAGGACGTGCAGTCCCATCATGGTGCTACCATGAATGCTTTCCCAGCAGGGCCACGTGTCCCATCGGCAGGGTCACCAGCAGCAGCCTTCCCACGGCAGCTGGCGAGCAGGGTTTGCCCCTGACCCACTTCTTGGAGACCCCCGCCTCTGTTGAGCACTCTTCTCCCACCCCACTGCTCTAAAAAAGACATTATTCACCCAGAGGATCTTCCTGCTTTGCCTCCCCAGCCTCTCTTCTCTCTCCACCCTCCCTTAGTGCTCGCAGCCATGTCCCTTTTTGTCACCAGATGGCACGGTAGAGCAGCTCTTGGAGCTGCTGGTGGCCACCCCGGACACGGACCCTTATCTGGGGCTCTGTGCTGGAAGGGGTTCAGGCACCTGTGGGCCTGGCCCCTCTGAGGGTTAAGGAGAGTATGAGCTCAGCCAGGCAGACAGAGAGTGAGGAGCAAGTACCAGCTGCTCGTTCCTTCTCATGGCTAACTTCTGCTCTCCATCCAGAGCAGATCCCAGCCTCTCCGAACCCGCAGAGGATCGGTTTTGTTGAAGTCTCGCGAGCCCCAGGAAGGTTGCTCTGATTTACACCATGCTACTCATGGTGTAACCAGCTCCTTCACCTAAAGAATTCTCTGCAAGAAACTGAGCTAATAGTTTTTGCAATGCTTTTAATCATTGTACGGCAAGCTTGCACCTCTGCCTTCCTCATGCTAGTGTGTTTTTGGTTAAAAACGGAGTGCATTAAAATCCTGACCTTAACCTAGCTGTTTGGCAGTAGATGTTGATGGGTAAAGCACTGACCTCTGAAGAAGCCGGGCTTGTTTCAAACACTGCAGCCCCGGTGGGGTGGCCGGTCCCCTCCCAGCTACAGATTGTGGTTTATGTGTGCGACATGATTATTCACCCCCACCTGAGCGGGGGGCTGAGAGTGGGGGGACACAGCCTTGCTGGAGGAGACCTGCCCCCTTCTCCCCATGGCGTGGGCTGCAACCTTCAGCTTGTCCCCAGGCTGGGCAGAAAAGGCTTAGGTGAGAGTGATGGAGCAGTTTTTCTTGGTTTTGTAACCCAATGGGGCTCTCCATGTGCTTAGTGCCTGGGGAAGCCGATGCGGGCGCAGCCGCCCATCACCCTGCGTGAAGTGAGGTAGCTGCGTTAGACCCACTCCTTCATCTCTTCCCGGTGGGATATGCCAGGCACCTGCTGTAATTAACCCATTTAATGGAGAAAACTCATTTTAATGAATGCAGCTTTACCTCCCTCAGATCCCTCTAGGCTTTCTCAGTTGCTTACTGATCCCACATGCTGCTTGACAAGCAAAACTTGATTTGAACTGAACCTTGCAGGCCCCATGGGGTAACAGGCATGGTACTCACCCTGGCTGGAAACCATCCTCACACCAAGAATATATTCACACATGACTTACCAGCTCCTGAACCAGTATCTGAGAGAGAGATATGGGTCTCCAGGCCAAGGGGTTGTGGGGACAGACCTGTCCTGCCAGCTGAGTATAGTATTTTCTAGGACTTACACCCAGGTGGGTAGTGGTACCAATATACTTAGGCTCTGCTCACTTTTCATTGCTAAGCAAACATTTTGGAAAGAGGCCTTTTTCTTTTTAATCTGTTACTTGCAGTGTTTTAAAGGAAGAAGAAAAGCCAGCCTTGCACCAAACAAGTACTCACACTGGATGTCAACCAGCCTCTGCTGGAAGTATTGCTGCTACAGATAAATCAAGCAATAGCCTGCATTACTATGTGTGATTGCCCACATCCATCAACTACTCTATCTTGTCTACAGTTCTAGCTGCATCTTACAGTCTTTGTTAAATTCACGCTGGGTTTGGCTTTAAACAATTCTCACAGTGGCAAATCCAATGACTGTTTTATGGATGTGAGTACTTGTTTGTACTGCAGGACAAAGTGACGGCACACGAAGAGGTGTGGATGTTACTTCACCAGCAACGCTCTCCCCTTTTTTTCCTTCTGTGTGTGGGTACGTGCATTCTAAAATGGCTGAATCAAGCTCTAAAAGCTTAAAAGCTGCAAAAAATTTAAGAAAAATCCCATTCTTTAAATTAATCCCTCTGACACATTCTGTGTAAAATCAGCATAAAAACTATTATTTCATTCCCAAGAAAAGAACCAGAGCATTAAAGAGAGGAGCTGTGAAGCACAGCAGTCCCTCTGAGCTCTCATCTCTTAGGAGACTGCACAAGCCGTCCTACTGACAAGTGACAAACTGTCCCTTCACCTGTGCTGGTAACCCCCCCCAGCCAAAAGTGAAGGACTTGCTAGGTTTTAAACGAACCCACCTGTACTTTCGGCACCGAGACAAGCTCCCAGAAGACAAACGGAGAGTGCGAGGGGGATATTTGCCATCTTCTTCCCACTGCCCAAACCTCTTGCTAACAAATAGTTCAGGTGGTGGAGTTCAGTCAATAGTTCCAAAGTGCAAATGCTTGTTTATTTACTCTGGGTAACCCTTTAATTTAAGGTCCCCAGATGTGCCATTGCTGAAGCCTGAAATGGCAGCATGGGTGTTATCGGGGAGGGCATATCCACGTACAAGAAACCTGCTGGGTAGTTGCAGTCCTTGAGCTCATCTTCTGCCCTGTAGGATGTTACTGCCAAGTTTGGGGGTTGAGCATAGCACAAGAATAAATTAATTTAGCCTCAGTGAACCTCTTTAAAGCACTGGATCTCCCATTCCTATCTAGGTGATGTGGTTGGCCGTATAAAAAAAAAGTCCACAGTAGCATTTTCAAAGGCTTCAGTATGGTCCGTGTTTCGTACAAAAGAGCCAGCACAATTCCCTTGAAGACAACACTACAGGTGATGTTTCTTTTCAGGGAACAGGCACCCTTGGAGCAGGGCCATGTCAGCCAGCGTGGTCTCACATGGGTTATCTAATTAAAAACCTGGATGAAGTGAGGTGAGACTACTGGTCCATTATCTAGATCCTCTGGGGCAAACCCTGGATATACATGGAATTTCCTGGGTCCTGTACTTGAGGCCACAGGAGGGAACCTGCTACTTGATGGACAGTGGGCTGGCATCGGGATGGGCTGATAAAATGCCGGCTCTGGAGCAGAGAGAGTGTGCAGGCTCCTGGCTGCAGGGCAGCCTTTGCCCAGGGCAGGTTCAGAGGCTGCTCCTAATCCACACTGGCCAAAGAGAGAACTAAAAGGGAGGGAAGATGGGGGAAATGAAATAGGAAAAAAAGGTTTTCATACAGAAAAGAAAGAGTGGATTTTCACATGGAACCATTCATATTTACTGGTGGGTTACTTATAACTTTTAAAACCCATCTCTTCCCTTCTTCTGACTTTCCCTTAATATGAAGAGCTATTTCAAGGTGAGTAATTGCTTTTGGGAAAATGCTGACTATTGTAAAAAAATAAATAAAACATCCACTTCTGGAAAGGTAAAAAATCCCCCCCCCGCTTCCTTGAGGAGGGAAAGTAGGCCAAAATCTTTCATCCCACTCTAGGGATGGCTCATGGACTTTCTGACAATGACCTCTTCCTCAAAACCTGCTTCCCAGCTTCTGCTTCTCCCCTCACTCCCCCATGCATAAGGCAGAACTCAAATCCATCATTGCACCCGTGCACATCTGGCGCTTGCAGAGCTCTGCCCAGCTACAAAAAGGTCTCGGACAGAGGCATTTTAAGGCAGAACTCCATTTCTGAGTGTGTTGTTGGTGCTGTTGCCTTTTGGTATTGGCTCAGCTCTAACACTACGCTTAAGAAGAGCAGTAAGAGGCTAGCAGGCTCTGATGGCTTGTTAAAGCAGAAGAGCTACAAGAGGGGAGCTGGCAGGTTTCACTAGTTCCCAGCAAAGCAAGATGGATGTTCTGCTATTGTCAATGCAAGGGAATCCCACAGCGCGTTTCACAGCACTGCGAGAGCTCACAAGCAGGAAAACGCCATCCACTGAGATGCAGAGTACGTACTGTGTTGGATGTGCCCATGTCTCGCAGGCTGGAGAGCTATTAGTTGCTATGAGGCTACAATAGCCCTTGGGTAGTCGTTAAAGTGTTTGCTTGAGCTTATGAACCATAAATTCCCTGCACTCAGTCCAAAAAATTAAAAATATTCCTTCATGCAGCAAATGGGAGAGATGTTTGTGGTTGCATGGGTACTTGGAGTTACCTTTCTAAGCAGAAAGGACCGATCAGCTGCAGGTAAATATGAGATGCTGAATGTGAATTACAGCCTTGTGAGATCTGTGTTGCCTAGGTGGGCAAAAATCTTTTATTTTCCCTTTCTTGAGCAAACAAAAGGTCCTGAAACTTATAATTCATCTTTTTTCTTCTTGTTCCATTTGAAATTATCTTTATTCATCACTGACAGTAGCTTTTGTTATCAAATTTCTGGGGTAGATAAATGAGTTAGGATGAAGTAATGTGCTGTTGATGTAAATTGAATGCAAAGTGAAGAAGGTAATGATCATCTCATTTTCTGTGCATGGGAAAATGCAAATGTGAGAAAATAAATTGAGCTAAAATGTTGAAACAATACATCTCCTATCAATAAAGAGGAGTGTAGAGAATGGCCTGCCATAACAAAGGATAATTACAATCTCATTACTGTAAATATTTTACTTTACAACATAGGTCAGTCAAATTATTTTTGGTTTATGGTGCATATTTCACTTGTAATAGTATTTGCAACATTATTGCTAATTAATCTTCACAGAAAATGCCAAGATCATTAGAATAAACAAGGCTATTAATACAAAAAATTTCTATTGTTTATTACTATTGCTGTCAACTTCTGGGGAACTAAATTGAAAGCAAAGTGTTTCTTTTTATTTATTTTGCAAACAAAATCCCCAGAACTGCGATCCCCACCATGGGCACTTTGGAGATGAAAGCTTTGCTGTTTAGGAGGATGACATCAATCGGATCTGGGTATATTTTAACTTGGTGTTCTATGTTCTCAAAAGAAGGCTATTTAAAATACACAGCCAAGTCATGTTCCTTCCTATTAAAAAGGTTTTCTGTAGCAATGAGCTGTTAGGAGATGTCTCTTCTGGTTTGAGATGCTAGGTTTGGGGCTGTTTTTGTTGAAATATCCCTTTTTTTGCTGGAACAGAACCATCACACATGTGGTTGCTGCGTGTGTGTTTGTGTCAAAGGCAGAAGGAGCTGGCAGGGGTGTAGGGCAGCGTGTTCCCGGCAGGGCCACCACCTCGGGCTTGGGGACTGCCCATCTTTCGGAGAAGCTTTCTGCTGCAAAGTAAAATGAAGTTTATGAGAAGTCAGAACAAGAAAGCTATTTCCATTTTAATATGATAGATTTTTTTAAAATGTGCTCTGGCTGCACTGATCAATAATGTTAAACAGCCTGATGGCTTGAGGATCTTGTTAAAGGATTGTTCATAATCTCCCTTGTCTCCAAATGCACTCTTTTAAGTGAAAAATCCTTGCTCAAAACCTTAAGCAAATTGCAATTTGCCCTTGCCCTCTAGACAGCTATGGTAAGTGATCTTTCCTTAACCAACAGCAAACAAGCTATTTCTGAAAAAAAACAAAGAAAGTAATGCTTGATCTTTATTTTCTTTTTTTTTTTTCCCTTCTTTATTTGATTACTTTGAAGTCCCTGGCTTTTTCTGGAGCAGTGATTGTGGGAAATTATCCAAATATAGAGGCAGCATGACCATGGAGTCCTTTGCAGTGCCTATCATTCTGTTGTAGTCATTAACATGCTGGGGAAAGTACAGATTCTGTTAAAAGTCCCATAGCCACTGAAGATACTAAGGTGTATTTGGACATCAGTGGTGTTAGTGACCTACCCCCGGCGAGGATAAGCCCTCAGCTTTCACAGGTGGGATGCAGAAGCCTTGTCCCCGTGGCGGTGGCTCTGGGCTGGTGGGATTGCAGGGGCAGGGAGATGTTGCTGATGACTTCAAATCTGTGCTGTGGGAGAGGCGTTCAGGCAAAACGGAGGTGGCTGGCTTTGGTGATGTGAAATGGCAACCAGGACCAACTCTTCAGTGATGGCAGCATAAAATTTGTGCAGGAGCAGTGTTGGCTCATAGCTCTGCTATCTCTGAAAGCCTCTCTCCTACTCCCCTTACCCATCTCAGGGCTTTCAGATCCTGTGTTGGGCATTTTTCTTCTGCTTTTAGGCAGAGGCTTCACTATTTGTGCCAAGAAACAGGCTCCCCTTGCTGAATTCCCTCCAGACACGTCCATTGCAGTTAGCACTTAAGCTCCGTCCCTCCCATTTTATTCCGTTTTTAATTAGACTTCTGAACAGGAGCATGGAGCAAACTCTGCTTTCATCTGGGAGATCCTGTGGCTGTGAAATATTTACGGGAAGTAAATAACTGTCAGAAAGTAAATAAGTCCCTGACTCTACATGAGTGTAAAAGTGCTTTGAAATAGTCTAATTCGAATAAAAGCTCTTCATGTTGAGTGGCAGTAAGAAACAGCAACACAGGCAAAAAATTCCCAATGTAGAAGGTAAACACAATTACTAATTCATGGAGCAGCATGTTTCACAGTAGCAGCTTTAATATCTTTCTTCTCAGTTTGATTTAAAATAGGCCAGATTAAAAGGAAATCTGGATTTGGTTTGGTCATCATCTTTTCAGAAAGCGGAGTGCAAGCATGGCTAGACACACCATGCTGCTGAAGTTATTCTAAATTTAGACATTGACATCTCCACTTCAGACTCTGAATAAAGCAATGAAACACAGCTCAGAGAAGGCAGCAGCTCTTGCAGGTTTTGAGGGGTCAAGTAGATCACCAAGCTCAAACATCATCATACAGAGCAAGAACTAAGTTAAATATAAGCTGAAAAGCTGGCTTGCCACTGTGTATGGGATAGAGGCTTGTCCAGGCTTGCTGATGTGAACTTGAGTTCTGCTTTGAAACAGATGTCTGCAGGATGCTTCTCTCTCCTCCGGCAAACCCATTGCTCCCATCTCCTGATGGAATTAGTGGTGTAGTGTCCTAGAGAAATACTTCTGGACCAGGACTCTGTTAATAGAGGTTAACTCCAGCCAGCGGCATCCAGCTAAGCAGAGGGAGCTTGTTTCCTTCTTCACTCATGGGAGAAGATTCATCCCGCCTTGCTCTGATGCCTGTTGTTGGAGGAGGGAGGAGTGTCTCTCTTGCTCTCCCTTTCTGTTGGCTAGAAAAGGAATCAAACTTTTTTTTTGGTTAGTTAAAATTGGGGTGAAACGAGTCTCAAGCAGCACATCCAAACCCACCGTAGTCAAAGCCCTTGCACTTAACTCCATACTGAGCATAAAGTAAGAACATTCAGTGTTCTCCATTTGCCCATTTTCTATGTCAACGTTTGTGACTATGCCCTTTCGTTTTCTTTGCCTTAACCATATTGCATCTGAAGTTTCTACCTTCTCCTTGTACCAGGGCATCCTTGTGCCCTATTCACCTTTTCTGCCTCCCT